TCTCTCTCTCTACGAAACTCCAAGGATCCATTTCCTGATCGAACAGGAGCGTCGGCGAAAAATGGATCTTTCATAGTAACCCTAAGCGATCAAGGCAGTGGCTTGCTCGCGACAAAACGTCCAGATATTTCCCGAAACCGAAGTCGCGTCAGCAGAAGATTATGGTAACAGTCTGGCAGTCTGCAACTGGTGTTATTCACTACAGCTTCGTCAAGGCTAGCAAAAGCATCTTAGCAGAGGTCTACTGCAAGCAAATCAAAGAAAGGCATTTCACTCGGGAAAATGAGATCTGCCCTGGCGAATCGACGTGGTCCAATTCTGCTCCACGACAACGCACGCTCACGTGTTGCCAGGATGTCACTGAAGAAACTCAATAGCTTCGAATACGAGACTTAACCATATCATCAGTATTCTCCCGACAGTTTAACCGCCGCATCTGATGATGACCACCGTATGCTCCACAGCTTGGTGGTTCAGGGACGGTGACTTACGCGTGAATAAATTTGGCGTAATAGTAGACTTGCGTTGCATCTGCCACACTCTACCCCCTCACCCGCCCTTGCCAAGACAAATTCAAGAAGACCGGAGGCGGGATCGGGCACAGGCGCGGCCTCCTTCTACGTGTTACCTCGACCACATCATGTCTGGCGTCATCCGTGTTAGCAGAGCGAGGTACTCTATGCTTCTTTGAGATTCCTTGTCTCCATCTACACTGTTTACCCGAAGATCGATCGCATTATGATGGTAGAACGAAAATTTGACCATCCGGAGGACAAGAGCGCATTCAGTTTCCCGGTGTTTGATGACACCGTCTGAGAACTTCAGACAAACTATTTCGTGACAGGTCGTGCGACCCGATATACACAAGGGCTCAGAGATTGGGGGCGACACGTCAAGTTGTCAGTTGAGGAAGAGCCGCTAGCACAAGGTCGAAAACACTGCCTACCCAGATCCCGGCGAGCGATTCAAACGAGCTCAGATGCACGTGCCGGACCCTTCGCCTCTCCCCAATGACTGCCCCTATTTAGCGACTCACTATTTCGGTAACTCGATGTGATCACACAAGTTAATTTAGAGGCGACAGCGGTGGTCAACCTTCCCGACACGCTGAATTTCATCTTTTTGGCCTTATAAACATCGCAGCCAGGCGCGGTTCAGACCTCTTCCAATCCTCGAATGATCTGACGAACAACGTAAAAATAACCCAATGTTCACCAGAAGGCTCTACTCGGGGTTGAAAATGCTGTCCACTAGGCAACGAGGTACACAATCTACCGGCCTATACAAATAATTCCGACCAAAAAGCCTATAGACGAGTATTTTTGATTATCTTCAGACTCGCCTTGGTTGTTTTCGCATCTACCATACACACTGCATTCGGCAGTTTTGCAAAGGAACACAACAGCTTTACAAACTAAGCGGCGTATCCAAGACCTGTAGTTGACGGAACGCAACTAAACGTGACAATGGCGTGGGATTCCATCGCTTGCCGAAGACTCCAGTTAATCATGAAGCCAGCAGGTTTTATTAGATAACAGCCTCAGTTTCGCAAAACCATCCAGGAGGACGTGCATGTTGGCGTGCTAAAAGGATTAAATTCCGCGGGGTAGCCTCGTCTCTGTATAATAATACTAGGCTTCAGCGCGACTCGAGAGAATACCAATAAGTTATTATCGCAACGCCCAGCAAGCACTGGGTTTGTCAAAGAAGCTTAGGTGATACAGAAATTTAGGCAATGGCATGCTGAAAGCAATAAAAAATGTTTATTCGTGACTGTATACAAATTAGAGGTTTTGGGGTTTTATCACAGATAAGAAACATGACTGGCCCCTACATTTTACAAACACTAAACATAGGCGCGACCTCCTCTCGCCATAAAGAGAAAGTTATACTACGTTCTGAAAGATAAGAGGAGGCCAAATGAAATGCTGGCGCCACTGGCGGTACAAGGGTGGGGGAGATGTGAAGGCAGGCACTATAACATGTCAGATCCATCTCCTGAATGAGTATTTCTCGAACCTCATTAACGGCTATAATCAATTCGTTGAAGACAAGAAAGTTCTGTATCTGGTTGTGGCAGGCCTCTTGTAACTCCTCGGTCAACGAGTCGAGTAGTTTCAGAAGACTGGCCGTCTCAGTAAACAGTTGACTGACCTCATCCGAGAGCTTCTCGACGGAATTCGCGATACTGAGGGAAAAACTGGCCACCACACGATTGACCGTTGTCAAATTCACATAATTAAGCAGAGCTGGGTCCTTTTCAATGGGGTTTTCAGCCTTCTCAGCGCGTCGCCTAAGGGATTCCAAAGAGGCGATAGAAGATCGGATATCAGTGAAGAGTTTCTCCAGCCGTTTAAATTCCTCCGTTATCTTACTAACCAACGAGTTTCTTTTGCTGCTACTCATTGAATGGCGCCAAACCGTGGTCAACCTGTCCTACCTATGGTTCCTGAATCTGAAAAAAAGAAGATATGATTCGATTATCAGAGCAGACTTAATAATCTGCATACTAGCAAAAATTAAAAAACAGCGGCATTGGCAAGAACGTGAAAGAATAAGATTTTCTAAAACTTCATAATTTGTTTGAAGAACTGTTCGCGCAGACCCCACTGTTTGCCAGAGAAATTGCCGGACACCGTGTCAATATATCCCTTCAAGAATTTCAGGCGTATGACTGGATTACAGCTGGATATAACCGATCTAAGTAAGGGAAAGTCAGATAGGCAAAAACAAAAAGTGACGGTAAGAGCATTACGCAGTTGTTTACAACCAAAGAAAAAGTTTTCATAGTCATAATACTAAGGTCGTGAGCCCACAGCCGACTGCGGCGTAACAACTGCAAAAAAGATTATAAGAAAGGAAAACCATTCCAATAAATCTATTAAAAGCGTAGACAGCAAACGATTTTGGAAAAGCACAATACTCATATGGATGGCTTTAGATCAAGGCCCAAAGCACAACGAAAAGAAAAAATATGATAACGTGATCTGTGAGCACGCTCTACTGTGGTGATATGATTATATAATGGTATGATATCGCGTGTCACGGACAGCATGCTTTTCAGCCTAATGGCCACCCCGGTCCGTGTGCAACCGCAAACCAAACTGGCATTATCATAAAGGTAGATTGCCCGTGAGTTGGATCATAAGCAGACGTACGAAGCATCAGGGGCATCTTCTCTCACTTCCGAAATCCGTTTAAATTGTGTGGAAAGGAAAGGTAACAGAACTCGTTAGAAGGACCTAAGAAGTCCTATTCTGACGAAGAGAAAATATTTAATTGCCAACATTCAAATCGCGACTGCAACTCGTCTCATTTGCAGTCAAAATGACCCAGAGATGCTGTTTGTATAGGGTAAAAATAGCGTGATGTCAATCCAGCTACAAATTAATGCTCATATTCTTCAGTAAAAAAAAGCAAATTCACACGACTTTGTGCCATCGTGATGCGTTAAAATTGCGGTGTGAATGTTGGCAGTTTATGGGTGAACCGGGGGGTCAGGATGCAGTGGGTTCTTCGAAATGTGACTCTTACTCGCGAGGTCCGAACCATCGCCCACTGGAGACTATTTTTTGTGTTTTAGCGACACCCACGTTTGTGGTACTCGTAGACTTGACTTCAGCCCCCTTCAGCCGTTGCGCTGCGTCTTGCCACTGGACCATGAAGGATGTGGGCAGAGTGAGATAAACGCAGCACAAGTCCACTTCACTACGGAAAAATCCACTACCGCACGCTCTCGGGTACACTGGTGACGTTCACTGTTTGCAACGAATGAACTAGAAAATAGAAAGCGTTATAAAGAAAGGTTATATTTAATACCTAGGTATAATGTTCTACTCAGACGAACTGTTAGTCGCACTAAATGCCTAGTTGTGGAGGCTGGTATCTCTGGAGTGAGTCCACAACACACAGCTATCAACTATGACCACACGAAGTAGGGCTAGGCGCAACGCCCCACAGGACCTGCTGTGGCTGATGACAAAATTCAATTAAAGTGACGAAAGTGTCTCTTAAAAGTCATTGAATTTCTTTGTCCTGTCTTGTTTAAGAGAGCGGAGCCGGACGGGTCGTAAAACAAGTAAACCTCGAACGAATATCACACTAGTCCCTGGATTAGGCCCTTCAACATTATCACGGTGTATGCGGGAAGTGAAAGATTGCATTTAAGCAAAGTCAGGGACAATTCATCTTCGGTTTCGTTATCTCACTCATCTGAGCGAAACACTAATTAACAAGATCTGTAGGAACAAGTTGGTCCAACTAAATTGCGTCTTTTTTTCGTCACGAGTCAACAAATGGCAGTGGAAATCGGTAAAATATTCGCGTGTGGCGCACCTTCTTTTGCGAGTATATGAGCTTGAAAGAGTGATCAAAAACTGCACATTTGATACCGGGATCTTCATCTACGGTCGGAACACCGGAAATGTCACCCCTAAACGCTCCCACTCCTTATTTCAGTATGAAGTCTACAACTCTGGTTATCTGATAGATCGTTAGTATGACAAAACTTCGTTCCTCAATTCACATTCAACGGACTTATGTTTGGTTGATCGGTATCTGTACTTGTTGCGACTGCAATCATGACTGAGCATGGATGATGGGTCGAGAACTCACGTTAGGAATCCACGACAGGGGATGATTCCGGGAATTAACCTGAATTCAGATATCGGCTGTATAAAATTGTTTCTTTGGACATATGTGGAAGCTTAACTGTGTCTGAAGGAACGTGTGTAAACATCTTTAAAAAGGTGTCAATATAACTTTTCCGTCGAAAGACCAGCAGTGAATAAACAACGCACTAAACTCGTAAACCAATTTAATCTACAACGGTTATATAGGACAGACCAAAAATTAGCATGACGACTTCCAACTACCTTGTATGGTTCGCACAGGGCTAAAAGATGAAATTATCTAACTTAATACAGCCTCTGTCGAGACCACCATTGATAATGTGCATTTGTGTGCAAAGGAACAGGTTCGTGACTAACTTCGAGAAATGCTGTCTCTATTTCGCCAAAAACATCAAAATTAACGCATGGTATTAGAACGATAGCACATGTGAGTAACTACGTCTACGAAACTTTATAAGCGCTACTGAGTGGCCATGGCAACCGATTCTTGCGTTGTGTTGAGAACAATGCCCTCGCTGTGACGGAACTTTTGTTTTGGCATTCAAAACTTATCTTTTTAAGCGGCCTTTAAAAAAGAGAAAAGAGTCACCAAGACTACCCAGAATACAAATAGCTGAGTTCTAACATTCCGCATGTCGCATACTGCAATGCCGCGGCAACGGATACGAAGAGCTCTACTCACTCTCCTTCTCCGCGACGAAGATTAAATATTCAAAGACCACGTCCGGAATTTAAAGAATTGTGTCCGGTCCGGCTTTGAGCTGATCTCTTAGTCTCCTCTGGTCTGGCAGGAGTGTCCAATATTGAGCGAAAGTGCTGAACTTACGAGGGCGCTAGGAAGAGTGCGGTCAAAGATACTCAGCCGTCTTTTTGGATGACTTGAGCCACATCTGTGACGTTTCCGAAACGAGGGTCGAATCTTTCGTTCAAGCCAAGTTCACGAACGTCACTCAAAGGATAGTTCTCAGGAAACAGTGACCAAAAACACCTGATTTTCACTTGATTACTATGCGAGCGAACTAGTATTCATCACCTTAAGAAATGACCGATCGAATAGATGGTCGATACACGCGGACAAGGGTGGCAATTGAGATATCGCAACAGGGCCACTGACTTCTGTAGGAGGCTAATACAAATCTGAAAAGTACATGTACTATAGCTACGATGTCGCCCTCACCCTCTCCGTTTAGAAGAAACCTAGATTGGAGGTAATTGAAACTCTCTATCTCATTAGGTTAGCTGTCATTAATTATAAGGAGTATCTGTCCCTGCTGAGTAGTACAGCTTGTTGTGTACATCAAATAATTTGGCGGGCCAGTTCGCCGATAAAATCGATACACATTTACAGCTTGACATCATCAGGATGGTCCACAGACATCCGATACAGTAACTGGGTTTTTGTGCAAAATAGGCTCTGCATTCGAGTGTCTTCCATGGTTTCGTGCTGACAGGAACTTAGCTTGGCGACCCTAGCCACCGACTACAAGTACTCTATCGCCCGCTGCAAAAACCTGAGGGCGAAGTCAACCAGAGGGAATGTTGGCGTCAGGGCTGCTCAAGGCTTAAATCGCGCTGATAACCTAAATCGTGGTTTTCTTACATTTGGCTTATGTTCCAACCGGCTCTACTTTCTTCATGAATCGACCTCATGCCGACTGCGATTGAAGGCGAGTATTTGACATGGAGCGAAACTGAAACACGAAAGGGTTTAATCAGTAGTGATGGTTGCCACTACTTCCATATAGCAGTCAGGTTATATGGATATCATATAAACAACGATTAAAGGTGTGACTATAGAGGATAACTAACATCAACGACAGGAAAGTCTATGAAAAGACGCCTTGAACGGAGCGATCAACACGCGAAACCAGAAATCCGTGAAAAAAGCATCGTTAATGGCACCTCTTCACGCGTACGCGTTGCCACCGCACTTTAAAAATGTCATTGGATGTTGGGAGGCACTTGCGCATCTACCAAATTTACAGCAACAACAATTTACATCAGAGACCAACGACTATCACCAAAGTCTACGAAACCCTTTCCGGTTGCTTAGGTAGATTACATCAAGTGTAAGTGAACAATGCGTCGGATAGCACACAGTAATTGTTCTTGGGTTATGCGAAAGACAAACTTCTTTCTTACAAACTTGCAGTGAAGCCATTTAGGGGTAGTATACGGCGCAGAGGCAGTCGCGAATAGTTGCAAAAATACTACAGAAAACCTGTACTGACATAGAAAACAAGAACTGTAATAGGCACTTTGCAACATATTTAATGCGAAAAAAAGAAATGAGATGATAACTGAGGTTCGGAACTCTGTAGGGTTTTTTTCATAATCAGATGTCGGTGTCAGTCAAGTAAAAACGCGAACCTTCAAAATTCATTCAGTTTACTTGCTTAAGCAGAGCCCTAGTTACACTTTTGGTGCGTAAAAATCCAACCCCACCTCCACGCTGGTGCACGCTGGAAACTTGCTTTTGCTTGGCTAACGGGGCTCTGGTAGGGGAACAAGACCGGAGACCTAGCGTCAATCCCCTTTTCTCCACGAAACACAGAATTGACTTTCTACACTCATGAATCACCACCATCCGCAAAATACGACCTCTACTACGGCGTCCGCGGGAACCGACGCACCCCATCCTCTCGGCATCGCGGGACGGGTGTTAAATCTGCGAGCTGATGCTGGAT